TGGATGCCTATCCATAGGAAATGGACTCCCATCTATATAATAGGGACGGGAGTCCATTGTTATTTTCCTTCAAAATTTCGTCTAGATTGGTGGACGGTTGTTCATTCACGGAAGACGTATTATAGTGTCCAACGAGACCGTGTCTAACTCGGATGTCATGTAAGTCGGTATAACAATTCGGTGAGATTAATTGGTGTCCGCAACATTGTTGAACTTAAAAACAAAATGGACTTACAAAATGAGAATGTATTAGCTCCAAAAATGTTCTCAAAGAAACATGATGTACCACATGTTACACACAATGGATACTTTAAACGTCTTGTCGGATATCAATCCTCTTAAGGGTGGACCTGTCGTTCTAACATTTTTAAAGTGGCATGCCCACTAGGTCAACATTACAAAACAACGGCGCCTCAGATTGAACGTTGAAGGCTCTAGCTTCAGCCTTCGTAGTCTTGGCATTGGCAGTTTGAATTGAAGAAGTCTCCAGAATGCAGTTTAAAGTTGAGTAAGTTAAGTTCATTATGTTTCGTTTTCTTTGTAAAACAACAATAAAAGTAATTGCTGATAGGGATTTTGCTTTGAATCTCACAACTACTCAACTGGGTTTTTCTCAAAATAAGATTTTCCCTCTTAGGTTTCTTTCATCATCTTCGCATTTAGAGAAGAGATCGTTAAAAACTAAACAAACTGAACAGGAAGAGTCTTTTACCGTTTCATACTTGATAAACTCGTGGGTTATCTTTAAAATCTGCTGTTTCTGCTTCAAAGTATCGTCAATTGAAGAACACTGAAAGAGCGGACTCAGTCCTTAGGTTTCTCAGCGACCATGGTTTCACCAAAACCCAGATCTGTAAAGTTGTGAGAGGATGCCCACAAGTCATTTCAAGTGATCCCAAAAAGACACTTTCGCCCAAGATTGAGTTTTTCCGTTCTATAGGGGTTTCCAGTTGTGACCTAGCAATGATCATAGCAAGGAGTCCAACATTGTTATGTAGGAGTTTAAAGAATCATCTTATCCCCAATTACAATTTCCTCAAGAATGTTGTCATTCATGACGAAAAAATTGTCAAAGTTTGCAAGAACATGCTATGGCTATTTTCACTGGATTTAAGGAGTACAAACTTTGGTCCAAATATAGCTCTTTTGAAAGATATTGGAGTGCCTCAATCTCAAATTTCTTTTCTTGTGACTAATAGGCCAAGCGCAGCATTTTCCAAACATTCTAAATTTTGCAAGGTTGTCAATCAGGTTAAGGAAATGGGATTTAATCCCACACTAACTGTGTTTGTTATGGCAGTTGGAATAATCAGCCAATTGAAGGAATCGGTTTGGGAATCTAAGTTTGAGGTTTATAGGAGGTGGGGTTGGTCCGAGGATGAGACTCTCGCTGCATTTAGAAGGCATCCCTGTTGTATGCAAATATCTGAGGAGAAGATTACAAGAGTTATGGACTTCCTTGTGAACAAAATGGGTTGGCTGTCGCGAGATATTTCCAAATGGCCAGAAGTTTTCGCTTACAGCTTGGATAATAGGATTGTTCCAAGGTGTTTTGTAATTCAAGTTCTGATATCAAAAGGTCTGATCAAAGAATATAAATCTCCATGCAGTTACTTATCTCCTGGGCAGAGCAAATTTATTAAGAGTTATGTAACCAAATTTCAAGAAGAAGTTCCTGAGTTATTAGATGTATTTCAGGGCAAAATCGATCTTCTGGATGCTTCCCCTGGATTTCAGAGTCATGAGAAATGAAACAGGTTTAACTCTTGAACTGTGTTCAATATAAAAATTTTTGCTTTTTGTGGTAGTCACTAATTTAAGCTATTTTTTATTTACCTTATTTACCAAGTGTTGGATCTGTAATTCTTTTACGCCAGGATGAATGTTTTGACATACTACCTAGGGAGGAAGAATTTATGCAGAAGTTTGTTACTAAATTTCGGGAAAAAGTTCCTCAGTTTTTGAATATGTATCAAGGAAAAATTGATGTTCTGGATGTCAAACTTGGATTTTATAGGTATGTAGAATGAAATAAGTTTAACTTTATTGATCTTTGATTCACTTTGTTTGTGGTGGCTTCAAAACATTGGGTTGTTACAAGGCCTGAAATTGTGTCCATTGCTTCATCTGAATGGATGATGCAGATTCAATAATGATATCTGCATGGAGAATAGTCCTTAGTCTACTCATCACTTAACACTGTTGGTCTCATTAATTAACATCTTTCTGGTCAAGAATTTATCTTAAGTGTATATGTAATACAACTTACTTTGTCCTAATCAGTTCATCTAAGATATAGAGGCAGCACAACTGTAATTGACACTGTTCTGACTTAATTCTTTTTGCAGTGGGAGAATAGATGTTAATTTCAGTTGTTGGATTTGACTGTTCCCCCATGGTAGTCTGTGCAAGTGCTGCCAACTTCATATGCACATAAACTTATTGTTTTTAACAATAGTTCTTGACCTCTAATCATCCTCAACTTATGTTTCAAAAAGTAGAAGCAATTCAAAGAAAAAAATTAGTACTTTCTATAAGTTGCATTCATATCATGTGAGGATGCCGGCTCCTAATTGCATTTCTCCTTAAGATCAGCTAATATCATTTGCAGTAGATTTAGCCCAGAAAGGGTAATTTGGAGGTGAGAATCAGATAGTAGATTGCAGAAAAATCTCTTCAAATTGAACGCAAGTGGCAGGAAATAAAAATGACAAAAATGTTATGTTGAGACCTTTTTAATTGTTTTCTGCTCTAAGTGAATTTCTTGTTTACCATTTAAGTTGTTTACCTTTATTAAAAAAAAAAAAAAAAAAAAAAAGGGGGAAGAAGAAGAAAAACAATGGCATTCCCAGTCGTAGAGTCAGCTGTAAGTGAATTAGCTGTAATTTACATATGTTGGCTCAATATTTTGACTGGAAATAAAGCATATTTATTTCTACAACCGGGAGACACAGCAGCAACCTTCTAAAACTGGTGTTTTTTCTCATTCATATCTTGGACTATCAAACATAGGGGCATCTCCAAAGTAGCGCTAAAAAGGACTCCAACCCAGCGCCAATTTTTGCACCAATTTGGTGTCTATGTACAGTATCACACTAAATTTGGTGTAATACTGTTTATGCACACAGTGTGGCACTGTTTAAACAGTATAGAAAATATTTTTTTTTGTTATTTGTATTTATGTTAATTTAATTATTATTTATAATAATAAATTTATAATAATTATATAATTCAAAAAATGATGAAAAATTTAAAACAAAATTTTATTCAATGCAATGTTTACATGATATAATGATTGTGTGTATAATTATGCATAACATGATAATCGAGGATTATCGTAATGTTGATACATCAATTGAGAATCAGATGGAAGCGTCAACTTCTGAAGTTGAAATTGTCGTAGATGAAAATGCCCAATTTCAAAATTTTCTTGCTTGACATAGACAAATCAAGGATATAGATGCTCACCATGTTCTTCGAAATGCATTAATTGATCATTTGTGGGAAGAATATACTAATTCAGAAAATTAAATTACTATCAATATGGAATTTAACTTTTGTGTTATTGTCTTTTTTTTTTTTTTTTGGTATCATTTTATATTAGATATAATGTTTTTCTATATTAAATGTAATGTTTATTTGATTAAATAAATGCTTAATTTTATTAAATTATTATAATGTTCAAAACAATTATAATTTAATAAAAATATCATTCCCAATATTTAATTAATATATACAAAAATAATGAGTGAAATAGATTAATTGTTGATTATTATAATAAAAGAAAAAGGGGTGTAATATTTGGTGCAATGGGTTGGAGATGCAATAGTGTTTCACACCAAAAATCACACTAATTTGGTGTGAAACTTTTACCAATTTGGTGAAATGGGTTGGAGATGGTAAGCTTTCATAAGAGCATCTTCAAATGACTCTTTATATGACCTAAATTCTTTATTATAAAGAGTCTATCCATAAAAATAAGAGTCCAACAGACTCTTTATCTTTAAAATATAAATTAAAGAGTGAGTTTTGCTTTCCACATTTAGAGAGTCAAATTTTACTCTATATTCTAATTTTATTTAATAAACTACAACTTTCTACGCATTTTATTTATTATTTCTCTTTCCCATTAAGTCTCTTTTTTGAAAATAAAGAGCATCTTCATTAAATTTAAAGAGTGTGTTAGATTTAAATAAAATTTGTGTTCTTTATATGTAAAAATTAATGAAGATACTCTTCAAAATAAAGAGCACCATTGGAGATGCTATAAAGGCACTCTTAAATATGCAAACCTACACAGCTTGCTTAAAATAACAGGCCCTTAGATATTATTGTATTTTTAATTTTTCACTACAAATAAAAAGAAAAGGATGCCTAAAGTCATGTAAATGAGACACCATTGTGGATTTGTGGTACACACAAAAAAAAAAAAAAAAAAAAAAAAAAAAAAAAAAAAAAATAGTAGAATTCTAACTCAAAAATATTTAAAGTTAAAAAATGTTTTAACAATTATTTATTAAAATGTTTTCTTTTTATATGAGCCAAAAAAAAAAAAAAAATCTAAATAAGAAATTTTTTGAAGTTCTCGGAAATCGTTTGGATTTCCAAACTTGGTGATTTATTTAAAGGGGAAGAAATAAACCTTTAAGATATGACATTCATGATTCAACACATAGGGTTTATTATTTTATTAAACTTTCCACTTAACTGTTAAACCGTCAAACTTTAGGGAGGCCTTCGTAATTGTCCTTCAACATTGCAAAACTAAAACACTAAACAAAGGCGCCACCTAGCCTCAACAGATCACCGTTACTCACATTTTCATATTAACAAGTTAATTGTAAGATAACTTTGCATATCTCATTAATTTTTTGTCTAATTTATCTTAAATTTAGATTATCCAATAATATTGTTACACGTGGACCGAACAAACACAGTACCACTTTTGTTATCTGCCAATGAGCAATGACCATCCAGTGTTACTTTGTCCCTTACAAAAGAGTCATATTCCTCCAAATTCCTCCGATAATTGATAATGGAAAACCTGGCTTGCACTGTCGGTCAAAGTCTTATTTCTTATACTATGGATCTTCTCTTTGACAAATTAATCTCCTGTGAGGTGATCAGTTTTGCTCGCAGAGGAAAACTCTACTCTGAAATCAACAACCTCCGGAACATTCTGCTCAAGATCCAAGCCGTTCTGGATGATGCTGAGGAGAAGCAAATTTCTGATCGGTCGGTCAGGATCTGGCTGGACGATATCAGGGATTTGGCCTACGATTTGGAAGACTTGTTAGATGAGTTTGCTACTGAAAGTTTGCGGCAAAACTTGATGAGAGATTCTCAGCTCATGAAAACCAAGGTACCGCACATAATTTTTTCGTTCATTTTGAATATGAAAATGGGTCTCAAGATTAAGAAAATAGCTGAAAGATTTCAAGTTATGGTGAATGAAAAAGATAACCTCAGGTTGAAAGAAATTGGGGTTTTTAATCCAGGGAGGGTTAGTTTAATCAAAGAAATTTTGCCATCTACTTCTTTAGTTATTGAATCTCGTGTTTACGGTAGAGAAAAAGATAAAGAGAAGATTGTTGGGATGCTGATGAAGAATGAAAATGGAGGTGGTAGTGGTGGTGATGATGTTTGTTTGATCTGTATTATTGGTATGGGTGGGGTTGGCAAAACAACTCTCGCCCAGCTTGTTTATAATGATTGTAGAATTAATGAGTATTTTGATTTGAAAGCTTGGGTTTGTGTGTCTTATGAATTTGATGTTGTAAGGATAACAAGGACAATTTTAGAAGCAATCACTAATGAGATTTTCAATTCAAGTGATTTAAACTCACTTCAAGTAAAGTTGAAAGCGAGTTTATCTGGGAAAAAATATCTGATCGTGTTGGATGACGTTTGGAATGAGAATTACCTACTCTGGGATGCTCTAAGAAGTCCCTTTTTACCAGGGGATGTTGGAAGCAAAATAATTGTTACAACTCGTAATGATGGTGTTGCACAAGTTATGGGAGCTGTTGAGATTTACCGCGTAAATTTGTTGTGTGATGGTGATTGTTTTTCTTTATTTACACAACTAGCATTGGGACGTAGAAATCTTGATGAGCAGCGAGAACTTAAAGAGATTGGTGAGGAGATAGTGAGAAAATTTCAGGGGTTGCCATTGGCAGCAAAAGTCATGGGAGGCCTATTGCAGAACAAATTTGATCGTGGTGAATGGGAAGCTGTTTTGAATAGCAGGATGTGGGATTTTCCAGAACAGAAAATTGGCATTCTTCCAGCTTTGAGAGTAAGCTACCATCATCTTCCTTCCTATTTGAAGCAATTGTTTGTTTACTGTTCAATTTTTCCAAAAGGTTACAAATTTCATAAGGATGAGTTGGTTTTGTTATGGATGGCAGAGGCTTTTCTCCTACACCAAAGGGGAAAGAAACTAGTGGAAGATGTGGGAGGCCATTATTTTAATGAATTATTGGCAAGGTCATTTTTTGAACGATCTAAGAGCAAGGAATCGCTGTTTGTTATGCATGACCTTATAAATGATTTGGCAAAATCTGTTGCGAAAGACATATGTTTTTGTTTAGAAGATAAAGTTGACAGCAATGAGCCAGTTAGAATTCTTCAAAAGACTCGTCATATGGCGTTCACTCGTCACAATTATGAAGTCTTACAAAGATTCAAAGATTGCTACGAAATGAAGTCTTTACGAACACTTTTAGCACTACCGATTCATACTTCAACTTGGACTGCAGGTTGCTACTTAAGTAAATCTTTCCATCATGAAATGCTGCCAAGGTTAAAATGCTTAAGATCTTTATCTTTGAGTGGTTATGGCATTAGAGAGCTGCCAAAATCAATTGGTGATTTGAAACATTTACGGTATCTTAATTTGTCTTGCACTGAAATTAGTTTGTTGCCTGAATCAGTCAGTAAACTTGTCAACTTACTGATATTGAATTTGCGTGGTTGCTCAAAACTAACAAAGTTACCTTCAGGTATCATCAACCTAATCAATTTGCATTATCTTGATATTAAAGATACAACTTGTTTGCTAGAGATGCCTTCTGGGATATGTAAGTTGACCAATCTACGAAAATTGACCAAATTTGTTGTGGGTAGAAGCAATCACCTCAAGCTCAGAGAGTTGAAAGAGCTATCACATCTTCGAGGTGAGCTTTCCATTTATGGATTGCATAATGTGGTGAAAGTTAAAGATGCAGAGATTGCCAATTTAACGGAGAAGCATGGTCTTGTTGAATTAACTTTGGAATGGATTAACATCTTCAATGATTCAAGGAATTTAAATGCTGAGTTACGTGTCCTCAATTATCTAAAACCTGATAGAAGCCTTAAAAAGCTTACAGTTTCATGTTATGGTGGTACAGAGTTTGCATCTTGGATAGGGGATCCCACATTCACTAACGTAGTCTACATATACCTACTTAATTGTAGAAAAAGCTCATCGCTTCCATCACTGTGGAGACTACCTTCACTTAAAGAGTTGTGCATCGAAGGCATGGATGCTATAGAAAAAGTATATCAAGAAAAGCCTTTTCCATCTTTGGAAACTCTCCGGTTTAAGAGTATGTTGAAGTGGGAATCGTGGTACTTTCCTTCTGCAAGTAATGAAGCAATTGAAGAAATTTTTCCTTGTCTCAAACACCTTACCCTACAAAATTGCCCAAAGTTGATTGAGAAATTACCCACCCAAATTCCTTCCCTTAAGAAGCTTACCATTAGTGAATGTCTGATAGGAACCCAATCCAATAACTCAACAATTTGGGCTGGGCCATGGGTCTTTCATGGGCTTGGGTAGAACTCTTCTTGGAAAACCGGCTTGCCAAGGGAGGGTGCCCAAGCCTTTATAACCCACATGCCCACCCTTTTCCCTTTCAATGTGGGATCCCAACAATGTCCAAGGTTGAAATGTTCACTCAAAGGCCTCTCATCACTTGTTGAATTAGATATTGAAGAATGCAATGAGGATCCATTGAGATATGTAGCTCACCTCCCCTCGCTAACCAGTCTAAAATCCAAGAGTATCTCAGAACTTACATCTCTGCCAGCATCCAAGTTCATGTCTCTCAAAGTGTTGCAAATTGAATCATGTCCAAAGCTTAAGTCATTCCCACAGATACATTTGGCATATTCTCTCAAACGTCTTCTGATAAAAGATTGTCCAGTTCTGAAGGCCTTGCCTGATGAGATGATGATTCTTAGTGGTGAAAACAGCAGGTGTCTTCTTGAAGAATTGGATATTGAAGATTGCCCTTCTTTTGAATCCTGGAACTTTCCAAATGGCAAGTTACCTACCATGCTTAAAAGTTTGAAAATCCATTGCTGTCAAAGTCTACAGTATCTACCTGAGGTAGCTTTTGAAAATGATGCCAGCAGCAACATGTCGCAGCTTGAGAAATTGGAGATTGTTGATTGCCCATCTCTTACATACCTTGGCACTGAAAAACTACTCTATTGCCTTAAAAGACTGAGGATTTCTTATTGCTTGAAGTTTGAAAAATCTTTGGAGAAAATGCTTCGCAATAATGCATCACTTGAATGCATTGACTTCTCAAAGTATGTCAATTTGTCAAGCTTCCCTGAGTGCCTTCAAGGCCTCTCAAATCTCACTGAAATAAATATAAATAGTTGTCCTCATCTGGAGTTCTTTCCAGAAACCGGCCTACCTGTCTCCAGCCTGAGAACCTTCTGCATCTCTAATTGTGAGAGTCTCAAGTCTCTTCCAAACCAGATGCACGAGGTCATGGCTCTTCGGAATTTAACAATAACCGATTGTGCCAGTCTTGCATCCTTGCCAATGGGTGGTTTCCCCTGCAATTTATCATCACTGCATATATGGAATTGCGAGAATCTTAAGGTTCCCATAGCTCAGTGGAAATTGCACAGATTGACCTCTCTTAGAGAGCTCAGAATTTCTGGTGAATGTTCTGAAGATATAACTTCCTTTCCGGTTGATGAAGATCTGCTTCCTCCAAGTCTTATTTCACTTTGCATCGGCAGATTCAAGAATCTAGCAAATCTATCCAGGGGACTGAATAGTCTCACCTTGCTTGAAGAGCTGGAGATCATAAATTGCTCTAAGCTTCAGTCCTTGCCTTGGGATTGCCTGCCTGCCTCACTTGGAAGACTCAGTGTCATGGACTGTCCCCTTCTAAGACAACAACTCTTCAAGGCGAAAAGAGCTAGTCGGCATGTGATAGCTCGCATTCCTTGCGTAGAGGTGGATGGTGATTGCATTCAATGAAACCATTTCACTGTGGAGTAGGTTATAAAAAAACAAAACCCATCTTTTTTTCAGTCAGGCAAATCCACTCTTTATGCTCAACTTTTTTCTATTTTACTCTAATGTAGTTTGTTTTTCACTTTTGTAAAGTGTATTTTTGCCATTTATATACACTTAAGAGTAATGCTATGCGTACTCACGGATCTTACTATCCATCTTACTAATCTTTGTTAAAATTACATATAATACCCGTACTATATTTATGATACCCGTACTATGCTTTAAGTTAGTACGCTAGTTAGTAAAATTCGTTAGTACGCATAGTATTATTGTTAGCAAATTCCGTCAAATCTCAGGGGTGTGGAGGGTATTAAGAAATCCACTTTTAGCTCGAAGCTTCAAAGAAAGTTCATAAATCTACATGTTCGTGACGGCAGAAAATTTTGCAGTAAAACAAAATCCATCGCTTTGATTGAAGTAATTACTCCTTTGAAACTTCACTAGTCCGTAAGTTCTCAAACGTTCTTTGATTATAAGTACAATTTTATGTTCTATTTTTGTTTTATTTTAAGATTTCCATGCTTCTGCTTAGGGTTTTGGAGAGTAATTTTGTGAATTATTCGCGTTACTATGCAGAATTCAACACTTTCTTGGAAGCAACTACCCCTTTGAATATAAGTTTAATTTTACAAATTTATTCCAAATTTATGTATGATCTAAGTTTAATTTTACAGATTGAATATAAGATCAGACTTGACCCTGTTTTGACCACATAAATTTACTTCAAGAGGCCTTTATATGTTTCTCGAATGAATCATAAATTATAGATAATTAATTTCTGTTTCTGTCTTAATACTAATTTTTTATTTAAAAAAAATTGTTTAGAGTTAACCATGATCTATTTCTTCCTGGTTTCTTTCCAGATTATTTGAGCATGTCCCTAAACTCTTAAGAGTCTCTCTTCAAGCAAAGTGCAATGGCTACTTCATCTTCTTCCATATGTATTCCTCCAGTAAAGTATGATGTTTTTCTTAGTTTTAGAGGTGAGGACACTCGCAACAATTTTACTAGTCATTTGTATGCAGCTTTGTGCCGGAAAGGTCTTAGTGTTTTCATTGATGAAAAACTCGAAAGAGGAGATGAAATTTTCTCTCTTATGAATGTAATTCAAGGATCGAAGATTTCAGTTATCATTCTTTCAAAAGACTACGCTTCTTCTAGATTCTCGAAGAACTTGCAAAGATCCTTGAATGCAAGAAAAAATGTGGTCAAATTGTAGTACCTATTTTTTATCACGTAGATCCATCAGATGTAAGGTTTCAGACTAGGATTTTTGGGGAAGCTTTTATTAAGCATAAAATACACTTTAGAGATAAGATGCAAAGATGGAGGACTGCTTTGGAGGAAACAGCCGATCTATCTGGTTGGCATTTAGATGAAACTAAGTAAGTTTACTTGCATTGAATAATTATTATCACATAATACTAATTGTGTGGATTAAATTACCATTATTGTTGATCAGTTTTTTAACATAGTATTAATTCCTATTCCTATGTGCTGTTTCTACTGAATTTGAGCATTGAAATTCATTAATTAAGAGATCTAATTGGATGGAACTGCACATTGTGTCCAATCACGATTTCTTCTTCAAACTTTAAGTAGATTTCTTTTCCTTGGCAACTGTATTAAACAAGGGAAATACTTGTATGTCATAGACCCATTATGAATAAGGAATAAGAGTCCAAACAACACCCCCCCACCCACCAAAAAAAAAAAAAAAAAAAAAAGAGAAAAAAACATAAAGAGAGAGAAGTATGACATATTGTATGTTGTTCTAACTCTTAAGTTATAAAGAAGACACAAATTTTGTACATAAATATAATCATTGAAACTTTTGTATCATTTTATCTCTTATCTAGTTTTATTGATACCTCTCTAGACATGATCTTTCTTTTAGCATTTATATTTGTATTACTTTGTTTATTAAGTCTATTCAAACAAGATGCTAAGGGTGCTTTGAAATTTCGTCTACCAATTCTTTAATTAAATTTATAGATCAACAAAAGAGTGTTATTGTTTTAAACGCAATAATAATTTTGTTAATGCTTTCAACATCAAGGTACGAAATAGCTCATACAAATTAACATATTCATATTTATATGCAAATTCAAGGATCTAATGACTAATGAATGCATTTGATTAAGCTAAATGTTGATGTCATTTTTCCGATGAGATCATCAGGTTGCAAGACTTTCTAGGGAATCATATCAATGGGCTATGCTAATTGTGTTTTAACCAATAACATTTTGAAACTTTATTTGGAAAAATTCCCCATGTTAAAGGGATTGAATATAAAAATATTGGAATTAAATTTTAGATTGTCTTTGTCTCTCTTTTTAATTAATTTATACTTACCATTGTTTCTTATGTTTGTTTGTTAGGTCAGAATCAACACTTATAGTGAAAATTATCCAAGATATTTTGAAGAGATTGAAAGATATGTTCTCAAGTGATAACAAGGACTTGGTTGGAGTTGAATCAATTATCCAAAAAATTGAATCTTCATTTTGGATGGGGATCAATGATGTTCGCACAATAGGAATTTGGGGCATTGGTGGCATAAGTAAGACAACTATTGCCAGTGCTATATATAACAAAATCTCAAGTCAATTTGAAAGTTATTACTTTACACAGAATGTTAGGGAAGTTTCAGAAAATCCTAATGGACTAATTCACCTAAAGTGAAAAAATTCTTTCAACTCTTTTAGAGGATATAAATTTATGCATAGGTACTCCTAATATGGGAAATACAGTCATAGAAAATAGGCTTCAGAATAAGAAGGTTTTTATTGTTTTTGATGATGTGACATTTTCAGAACAAATAGAAGAATTAATAGGAGACCTTAAAGACTTGGGTCTCGGTAGCCGAATCATCATAACAACAAGAAATAAACAAGTGCTTAGAAATTGTGGAGTGGATCAAACACATCACATTGTGGGATTATTTGGTAATCATGCTTTTCAACTTTTTAGTCGATTTGCCTTCAAACAAGACAGTCCCTTGGTAGGTTATTCAGAATTGTCTGATAGGCTGTAAGATGCGCAAAAGGTGTTCCATTAGCACTTAAAGTGCTACGCTGATTCTTGCAAAATAGGCAAAAACAAGTTTGGGAAATTGCATTGGATAAATTAGAAGAATCTCCTCATCAGGATATCTAAAAAGTACTAAAGATAAGTTATGATGGATTGGATGATGGAGAGAAGGATTTATTTTTGGACATTGCATGTTTCTTTAATTTATGGGATGAATATTTAGTGAGAGAAATCTTGAATTCTTGTGGCTTACATGTACAAATTGGAATAAGTGTTCTCATTGATAAGGCTCTCCTAACTACATCAAAAAACAAAATAATCATGCATGATTTGCTTCAAGCAATGGGAAGGGAAATTGTCAAGCAAAAATCTATTTAGGATCCTGGCAAACGTAGTCGATTGTGGCATCATAATGATATCTACAATGTATTAACATATAATATGGTGAGACCAATGACAAACAGCCCATTTCTATTTTATATTGGGTGAAATCTATTAAAAGTTTTCTTGGATATTATCATTTTTATTATCCCTTATGCATTAGTTTTGATGTGGTAAAAGGGTTGGAGTTTTGTATATATACACGCTGAGCACTTGATTTAAGCTCTTATGTATATTGTTGTTGCTAACTTATCATTTGATCTTGATTGCTAGGGAACGGAAAAAACACGAGGCATATGCTTTGACATTGTTATGAGAAGAGCGATACACTTAACTCCTCTTGCTTTCTTAAATATGCACAACTTAAGATTCTTGATAATAAACAGGGAGACGAATAATAAGGTGCATGGTTTTCATCGCCTTAAATTTAATTTCAAAGAGTTAAGGTACCTTTGTTGGCATGATTACCCAGAGAGATGGTTGCCCTCAAAATTTCATCCAGAGTGCCTTGTTGTACTCAAAATGTGTCATAGCAGCCTTAAACAACTTTGGACTGTTGTCATGGTACATAATGCTTTTGCATTACTATTCTGTTCTATTGTAAATTCTATACATCACATTTTCTAACTTTTTTTATTTTTTATTTTTTTAACAGAATCTCGCAAATTTAAAGTGTATTGACCTCAGTTATTCCAATCGTCTACTCAAAATCCCAGACCTCTCTTATGCCACAAATCTTGAGAGCTTGATTCTATAAGACTGCACAAGTTTGCTTAAGATCACTCCACTCTCAATTCAAAATGTCAATTCGCTTATTAATCTTAATCTAAGAAACTGCAAAAGTATCACTAGTCTTCCTATTGGCATTCAATCAAAATCTCTTAGATTTGTTATTCTCTCTGGATGTTCAAATCTCAAGATGGCTCCAAAGATCTCATGTAATATGGAACAACTTTGTTTGGATGGATCTGGAATAGAGCAATTTTCCTCCGTGATTGAATACCCTCCCAAACTAGTTGAATTGAATCTTGAAAACTGTTCAAAGCTTAAGTGTCTCCCTAACAATTTTTCTGAGTTAAAATCTCTCCGACATCTTGTTCTTCGGGGTTGTTCAAATCTGAAGACTATTTCTAAGCTTCCATGTGAGGTAGAAGAACTAGATTTAGAGGGAACTGCAGTTAAAGAATTGCCGCCATCAATCATGTATCTAACCAATCTGTTAAGATTGAAGCTTACAAGTTGCTCAAAGCTGGAGAGTCTCCCACAGGGTTTTGGTCATCTGAAATCTCTTAAGTATCTTGATATCTCTAATTGTTCCAAACTTGACAAATTGCCTAAAGACTTTGCAAACTTACAAAGTTTGGAGGTACTGGAAGCTAATGAAATTCCTATAAGAGATATTTCGTCAATTGTATGTTTAAGCAACATTGGTAGATTATCTTTGGAGAGATGTAAGAGTCTAGATCTGGTGAGTTTGCTGTCACCTACATTATCAGGTCTGCATTTTCTAATGCGTTTAAATTTAAGTAACTGCAATATCATAGATT